GCAGAGTTAAACAAGAGGGGTTCACATTCCTTGCTCCTGGTCACATCTTTGAAGACAAATTTATTCAGTCGACCGACTATTTCGGTAGAACTGCATAAAGTAGCAAACGAAATGCGCACATCCATTCTATGAGTAAGGTCATACATGAGCCCCGCTTGTTTGAGGAAGCTTCGTCTAGTCGGACGTAGCCTTCAGTCAACCAATCTGTCTGTAGATCACATACTTTGTTCGTGTTTTAAGATTAATTAGTAAAATAGCCTATATTGTATATTTTTTGATATTTTTTAAATACTAGCAGGTAATAAATTCCCCTGGGACTCCTATTAATGTAAAGTAACCAGTAGTCAATGTTGTACTGCAGCATATGTGTGTCAAGCCGGTGTCTGTCTTCGTAGATTGGGGTATTTCAATCTCATAGTTCTGTGCCAAACGGCGTCCCAGTCAGCATTTACAGGGCTCATGCAAATGATATATTTCCGTCCCTTTTGTGAAAGATGTTTAACATTGCTCTCGAATGCGAAACCTTGCCCCATTTATGGAACGAATCGCACAGTCTGCATATACCCAAGCACGGGTGATCTACACAGTTGACGCCCTTAGGTCGATAACCACACTTACTGCAGCCTCCAATGTACTGGAGCCCTTGACCAAAGGCATGATGTGTCACCTAACGTAAACGTTTCATATTTTCGAATAACGAACGGCTGCTCGCTTTCCGCCCGCAATTATGTAAATGACATCTTTTTTTTCTACTGTATTGGCGTGCTTTCGCGATAATCATGGCGCAATGGTTGGACAGATTAAGACCATTAGATGATATATACTCAGGTGCCTAAAGTCGTCAAATGTGTAGATCGTCCGTGTTTAGATATAGGCAGAATGTGCGATTCCCTCCATAAAATGGGCAAGGCTTCGCTTTCGAGAGCAATATTGAATAGCTTGCGCAGAAAGGACGGAAATATATCATTTGCACCAGCCTTTAAAATGCTGACTGGGCCACCATTCGGTCCAGGACTATGAAATTGACGAAATAGTCGAATGATTACGGTCGCGTCCCAGACGGTAAAAGTTACAGATTGAGAGGATGGCGCCAGTCCAAACTCGGATAGTCGGAAGTGGAGCGACCGAATTTTCAACAAACCTTCTGGACAGGAAAGTATTGCAGCTTCAGCTATGGATATTCCTAAGGCGTCTCAAATTATGGGATACCAAGCTTTTACAACACTTCACAAAGGGTTTTCGGCGGTGGTTATCCCATCGGCTAGTTCTTTTTCTTTGGGCAGCTTCTTAGCCTGCTCAAAGGTAAGTTGGATCAAAGACAGAACGCAAATCTCGTCTTGTAACTGGAAACTAAATGAGTGTCTGCACAGCCCACTGCGGAAAGATAAAGTGAGGTATACTTCATCCTTGGCATTAATTATTTTGTTATGGTGAACAACGCGAGTGGGTCTGAAAATATGTACAGTGTATTAGTATAAACGTGCGCATCCATGCCTCTTTTACCATAACAATGCATTGAAGATGGACGAAAACCAGAGTCTGAAACAGAGGCAGGTGGCTGCGGTCATCCAGATAGGATAAGGTTCCTCAGAGTTTGAGGGATTTCCCATGCAGGTTAGCGGAGGTGGATAGTGCGAAGAAGTCCTAAAACTGCAGGAACAAGTCTCGATTCCTTACGAGCCGGTATTTTTGTATGGGATCACGTCCGATCTGTCTGTACTCAAGAGGAAAAGAAGGTTAAGGGCCCCAAATCTACATTCAAAAAATAAGGATTTTGGGCCCTTCACAGCTGGATATAAAAGAAAGCCAACTAATACAAGTGGTGGGGACTTTCCTCTGGCCCAACCCTGTAATTATGAGGGCTATCCTCACCAAGGAAACGATCACTGAGGATCCTCTCCACAAATGTAAAAACCTTGTTCAACAAGCTGTTCAAACTTAAAAACGTGGCTGATTAGACGAAACCAGACATCATGGCTATCACCGAAACCTGGATTTGGACAGGTATCACCGCTGCCAAATTATCTCTTAAAGGATATGAACTTTGCAGCTCAGAAAGACCAATAAGGTGAGAATAAGTTATAGTCCGTCACTTGCAAGTTGACCGACATGGCTGGAATACATATTCCAACACGAAATTTAGAAATGTTAAACATGACTATATTTGTTAAGTTTGCCAGACCACTGGCACTTTCGGTGGTGTATTGTTCACCAAATCAGACCTCTGACCAAGACACTATTTTCATAGTGGAACTGTATAAGACCAGTGAACAGAAAGATATCCTTATCGTTGGGGGTTTTAACGTTCCTGGTGTTGACTGGAAAGCATACAGTATGCCTACGAAGCCGTCCTAAGGTCGTGATGAAATTTGGTTTGTTAATTTAGCATATATTTTGTCATGCTATTTTGATTCATTGAGTTGATTTAATCCTGAGAAACCCTTTATTTAGGAGAACTGCACAGGAACCTGGGGATTGTTAAGAAATTTTTATTTTTCTTAACAAACAATTAGTACTTCTTTTATTTATTTTAAGTGACAAAGTTGCCTAAGATTATTAAACATTTTTTAGGTTTTCGTACATACGTTAATGCCGGTTTTCGAATTACTATCATTCGTTATTTTACAAGACTTATACACCAAACTGTAGACTGCGCATCGACCTCCAGATAACTGTAGTCATAAATTACTACGGTGGGTCACCCACAAACTTTTCTGTTAGAAAGTCACCTTTGGAACGCTGCTAGGGAAAGACAATAGTCGAACGCTCCTGAGCTTATATTTACCCGAGAGGAAGAAATTATGATGGATCTGCATGATTGACCCTTATTAGGGCCAAGTGACCACATTATACTGCACTTTGAGTACTCGCTGTTTTCCAAACCATATTTGCCCGATACGTGAGAAAGCAAGATTTGGAAGTTGACTATCAACTTATGAGAAGAGAAATGACAGAGGTATCCTGGGAAACAGAATTTCATATTGGAGTAAATGATAATTGGCGGATTTAAGCATGATACTGAAAAGTATTGTTTATCACAACTGTCCTCTCAGAAGAAAGGCAACTAAAAATCGCCTAAAGTGGATAAACTAAAACTTACAGGCCACTTTCAAAAATGAAATAGCTTTCGGAGGCATCATAGACTAACAGGCTCCGATCAGAACTTACGGGAATACAAGCAGTCACGTACATTTGTAAAAGTGAACCAACTAAGCTGCGAAGGAAATACGAGCTGAACCTACTACAAAATTCGTTAGAATGTCCCAAAATACCATATGGCTACATACAAAATACAAAAAGGACTCACTAACTGATCCCTGCCCTACTTTCTGCCGACGGAAAAGACGAGGAGAATAAAAAGGTTAATAGAATCAGTGTTAAGATGAATGTGCAGCCTTCGCTTAAAAGCGGATAGTCTAGTTTGCGACCTAATTTCAATTGGCAAGTTATTCCAAAGAAAGCTAATATCTGGAAGCAAAAAAACAAAGAGCGTTTAGGTGAGGAGGATGCAGGAGGTACAAAAAGTGCGGAATTTCTTAGGCTGTAGGACCGGCTGACAGTGTTCCAAACTCAGTTATTACAAGAGTCTCGAGCTTTCCCCGATTACTTAGCCATATATTCTCAGCCTATCTCTCAAACGGATTTTTTCCTGACTCATGGAAGACAACCATTATTAGTACATATGTGTACACCGATCATATGCAGGGCACACCTGCCCTGGT